TACACTAGGAGAAAACTTAAGTCTGCAGGAATCTAAGGATGAAATCCAAGTGTAAGCTGCCCTCTGAACAGGCTGTAGAGCTTCTCTTGCAGGGAGGATAATACAAGTGAGGTAATGGCTGTGGATGCTTTTGAAGAGGAAAAACCTCTTGCATTTATTTTTCTGAAGTAGTTTGTACAATAGTTGGATTTGGCTCAAAACCAGCTCCCAGCCAAGACTGATGTCTCTTGAACTCTTGTTCCAAGTGAGGCTTCAGGACTGGATTTGCTCTGAAAGCCTTCACTGCACTGAGTTCTTAGGACATTCTGCAGGACAAGACTATCCCAACAGACTAAGTGGCACTACTGTTAAAATAAAAGTTACATTCACTCACTGAAACTCAGGGTTCTGGAAGACTTCCAGCACTGTATGGAAATCCACATGTTTGGAACTACCACTGCCACTCTTTTCAGCCCCGTTTGTTAAGGTGAACTGCAAATCAATCAGTCTGTTCTAACCACAGTGAAAACAAGAGTGGCTGAGTCACAGGAAGATCCCAGACCTTCCCGAGAGGGAGCTCTACTCAGCCTAAGAGAAACATGGAGAAATATGAGAATTTCTCCTGTCTGAATCTAATACAGGGCTGCTGGCTGCTTGGGAAGAGCCGGAAAATTCACTGACAGACCAATAGCCCTCACTTGCTGTCTGCTAATTAAAACCCCAGTGGCACAGCATGCTGCTTTGGAGAGGCAGCACCTTTTCCAACAGCTGAACACTTCCTGCATTCCATAAGAAATAAAAAGATATGTCTGTCAATACTGACATGCACAGTCCTAGGTTAGACTAATTTAAATGTGGTACTTTACCTCTGTTTTTTGAGGCTGCTTTTTCTTGTCAGTGAGAACTTTGCATGGAGGGAAAAACCCAACAGATTATTTCACAGCTAAAGCCTCACTCTTTTATTCTACTTCAACTGGTATAAATCAGGAGTTATTCTGTACAAGTCAGTGGAAAATCACATGTTTAAATTGAAATAAGTCCTCTAGTGTCTTCTTGTAGCACATTTAAGAAGCATTAATTGATTATCTGATGCCTTTTGTGCTGTATAGAGAAGTGTTGTGGTCCTGAAAAGTTTTGCATACTGTCAGTGACAGACACAGGACTGGTTGGACAGGAGTTTTCAAAGTAATTATAGAAACTTGCTTCTTTGAGAATAGAAACTTAAGGAAACTGATGTGTGAAGGACAACTCAGCTGTACTAGTACAGCCAAAGGAATAACAAAACTCATGAAAAAAACCCAACATCCTGAAGTCCTGAAGCTTTTGTTCAGGCAAAAATTCCACTGACCTAGGAAAGATCTAAAATTATGCATTGGCGTGCCAATGAAGAGAACATGTAACTAAGAAAACTAAAGCATGTAAGTGCCTAGCTGAGCTGGGGAGCATTACTCACACTCACTAACAGGCTGCAATTGTCCGTGCACGAAGAAAAGAGACCGCCCTGTATTCATCTGAGCAGAACACCAATTACTGCAGAGCAGCCATCTAACTTTATCTCCTGGTTCTGTGGGTTTTATTTTGTTTGCTATGACACAACGTGGCCCAGCCTAATCCCAGAAACAGAGAAAAAACTGCTTGAATTTTGCTATGTTTCAGTAAAAGCAGAAGTATTATCCAGCATAAGGAAAAGATCATTTTAATATCAGTTTTTAAACTCCAAAAAGCTTCAAATAAAAAGAGCTTGAGCTAACCTACATTTGCTGCACTTTATTTATAAACAGAATGCTTTGTCATCAGATATATTTAACCTCAGACGTAAGAATACACTTCCCTCAAAACAAGGCATAAGGGGATAGATGCACGTGAAGGCTCCATTCAGTGAGATTAATTCATAATTAGAATGAAGCCTAGGAAAAAAACCTCAACTAGTCTAGCAAAGAAAATTATTCAAATACTTTTTTTCCTGGTATATATATAAAAAAGGATTAATTTGCATAGAACATCAAACAGGAAAAGCTACTAAACAAATGAAACATCTGTAGCCCTGAATTTGCTAGGGCTCCCTCAAGCGTTGCTCTAACTTGCAGCATTGTGATAGACTTTACCATTCACCAGACTGGAGAGAAAGCTCTTCTGCTCTCCTCACATGAGCAACTTCTTTCTGTCCCTCTCTCTCTTTGGCAGCAGCAGCTTGCATCAAAGGGAAACTGTATTAAAGAGAATAAAAGCAGAGGGTGTTAAGTCGGTTATATACTCAGTGAATGTGGCAACATAGTTACAAAGAGAAAAAAATGCAGCAGCAGAACACAAACACAAAGCTGCTGTGTTCCAGAAACCAGCAGAAGAAAGAAAGTGCTATTTGTGAGGGAGCAGCTCTTTGAAACTTCATAGCCTGATTCAGAGCCTTTGGTGCCAGCAGAAGTCCTGCTAGCCTCCCCGAACTTTAGATCAAGCCCTTCTCAGTCTTCTACATTGTTACACTTAACATTAAAGAATGACGTATTTTCCCTGAAGGTTAATGCAGTTAAGGAGTATTTTTAGTTACAGATAGCAAAGTTTCCTTAAAGGAAGCATTTGACAAGATGTGCAAAAAATACTGCAATAGAAGTATTCATCTTTGGACATGTGTATCTATATTGCAGCTCATTACAGGCCTTATCTACTTATTTGAGGAAAGAATAAATGTTGATAAGCTTTATGGAACTCAAAACCACTAAATGTTTTTGTGATTAAACCCAAAACATATTATGCAGCCCTTCAGCTCCACAGATTTGATCTTGAGCTTTTAAGATCAAATGAGAGAGAACTAGTGAACAGATAGTAAAGAAAATTGGACATAAAGAAGTGTGACCAGCATTAAAGGAAGTTTTTATTCAGAATCTATCAAATTCCCCCCCTCTTTTTTTTTTCTCATGGTATTCACTCTGTACAATACTAGTAACTGTCCAAAGCAGGCATCAAGTTGGGATCAACCACTGATGCAATTTCTAATGGAAGATAACCCCTTTCTACAAGCAGGAAGCCACCAAGTGCCTCCAGCAGTAACATGTTTTGAAAAGAAATCCTTGTGTGCAATACAGCAAGAACACTCACAGTCACACAGTGCCTAAATCTTGCTCACACAAGTTGATTCACGTGAACAGTTGGCCCAGCTCTATATGGCTACATGACTCCAAGGACTTGTTTGGGAGCTGCATGTTGTGGGAAAAAAATAAAATCAGCCCAGATGATGATTCATAGGGTGTGGATTGTTTTCATTAGGAAAGAACAAAATCCCAAAGCTAAAGAATCCTGTTTTAAAAGGAGGTTTCCATACTGAATGCAGACTCCTGCCTGGATCTGGCAGGCATCCTGCTGGCAGAGCCAGGAATCCTGCACCTAGCAACGATACCAGAGAGCTCCAGTGTCTGGGCACTTTATTTCCCCAGGAAAAAAGCAGAGAGGATCTGAGGGGGAAAAGCCTCTCCCAGCTATGCGATGCCAAGCACATGAGAAAGGACAGCCCAAGCCCAGGCACAAACCAGGTCTCTGTTTCAGAGTTATTTAATTGAATACTAATTGCTGAAAAGCACTGCAGCCTTATAAAGCCTGGCAGACTTAGGCACACCTTGGAGACAGATGTCACCAGAGCATGTGTGCTGGTCTGCTGGCTTTTACTGAGTGGCCCAGTGACACGAGCAGAGCGTTTGACTCTGAAAGAGCAGTATTTTAATAAAAAACTGAGGATGTGTCTTCTGGTTCAGTCCCATAAGAACCAAGACCCCCATTGGTCATAGGCACAACAACTTGCAAAGGCCTTAAAGCTACAGTTCATCAAACAAGTTGTTTTGGCTTGAAGTTACAACAAAGGCAGCAGCTTCTTTTCCTCTCCCAGTGCTGTAGGCTTTGCCAGATTCCTGCCCTTGCTTCTAAGAGATGAAGAGTTCTGCTTGCGTGAGTGCTTGCTGAAATCTCAATCACATTTTCCTTAAGAAACAGGGGAGCAAAACAGGCTACGTCCCAACAAGCCTGGTGAACTGTTCCCAGCTATCCTGGGCTGTCTGCCCTTTTATCCTGATGTCTCCAGCTTCCTCCCCTTCTCCTGGCTGCCCGGCCACTGCGGTCGCAGCTTCTGCTTTTGTGCAGGACTCGGTTCCCCATTGTTTCAGCGACTCTCTCACAGGGGCAAACTTTTTCCATATATGCTGATTGTCAGAGATTTGGTTCCTGTATTCCCACTTAAAAATATATTGCCTAAAGTTCAGCTGTTTCCATGATAGTTATTACTCCTCACTTCCTGTCCCTTCTGGCCTTGGATTTTAACCATCAAACTTCAGCCAACAATACCCTTCCAAGTCATGACTTTAAACTCTTGGAAAGGAAGAGGCTCACCTACACGCTGGGATTAATAGCTGCCTATATAATTTTGACTTGGAAAATTAATCAGAACACTAAAACTCACTTGTCCTTGCTAGAAGTGTAAAACTAAAATCAAAGCAAACAAGCCTCTTTTTTCCAGTATAATTTTCCTGCAGGTGACAGGAGAAATTATTTCAAAGCTAGCTTAATTAATAAAATCCAATCAATTACTATATTATCCTGAAGAAGTAATACTTGGGAAGACATTATTAATGGAGTTTATGCCGGATTAAATTTTCAGAACCAGTCTGCCTCAACCTGATGAGTCAGTCATTAGGCATCTGAAATGGCAACATGCCTAGAAAGGCAATTTGACATTTAAAGTGACATTAACCTGCAGGTTATCATGGGTTGGAAATTTCTCCTCCTAAATGAAAGGACTGGAAATGGAACTAATGCATCAAAATTCAGACAATCAGCCTCTTCCTTACAAACTCAGATAAACATCTCAAATGAAAACACATGAATTGGGAGTGGACAGAGAAGCTCTGAAGCATTTTCCACTTTCCTCATCATACAGCTGGGAAAAAGAAAACATAAAAAATAGAAGGCCCTTCTGCATTTAATTCTTCCTTGGCACTGTTACAACCAGAGACTCAACAAGATCTACTTCAAACTCTTTTCCCACGTCTTTCTTCCGCTAGGAACTGGTGTTCCTTCACACAGTCCCGGCTGGTAACATACATAGAAGCCTGCATGAAGGAGAAGTACATTGTCAACTCCCAACAGCCCTGTCCAAATGGAACCCCTGACTGCCAGAAGATCATGTAAGTATCCTAAATAAAACCACTGAAGAAAACAGAATTTTCTCTGACGTATCTAAATGATTTTTTCAACAGTGTTGAATGACACATTCTAAAAAGAATTAAAGCATCAACACAATTTAATACCAAAGTAATGTAGGGCCGCATTTACGCACCTAAAGGTGATCAGACACTTAAGTAACCTGGGAGAACAACTGCCTTTCCAAGCCACCAAGTACAGGACTACAAGATGATTAAGTAATTTTTCATATCTTCTCACATGTTCAGAAAACATACAGAGACCATACCTTTTCCATGATTCTCAGGTCATAATATACACACATAACTTAAATCTCTCCATCTGTGGCCATCAGCGAGACCATTTCCATGGCAGGAGTCAGAGAACTGCAAATCCCCAGATGCTCACTGTTCTTTCACAAGGTCTGGCTGCCCAAAGAGTACTAGTGAAAGCCAGTAGTGTATCTTAAGGTACATATTTGAAGCTGGGTGACACACACCTTTTTTAAGCTGGACTCACACACACTTTTGAAGTGTTAAATAATATTTAATTATCATCTACACGTCCTCACATCTAGGTAGGTATTTGGTTGCAAAAACGCTTTTGTTATTTGCTAATACAATTAACTTCTCTTTCTCTGAACAACAAAAAAAAGTTTCATCATTATGCCCAGGGGAGTTTTTAATAAATTTGTATCTTCCTTGGTAACAGTGAGGCTGATCACTGGAGCCTCTGACTGCACCTAAGAATGTGCACACACCTCCCGTTGTAAACGGTAATCCTGACAAACAATCTTATGTAAGGAAAAAAAATTGCTGTGGACTGCCTATATGTTTTGCTAAGTAGCAGTGATAGAGATTATGACAAGTTTCTTAACTGCATTCTGCAGTAGTCATCTCTGACACACTTGGCACCCAAGTGGCACCTGCTGACAACTTCCAATCTGACACCCAGCCCGTTACTCCACAGGTACAGGACAGCTCTGAAGCCAGTCTACCAAGTGAAACAGAAGGTTTTGAAGTCTTTGCAGTGGAAATGCTGCCCTGGATTTATTGGCAAGGACTGTGAACAGCGTGGTAAGGAAAGCTAGAGAAAAAGTGTGAGAATGAATGACTAAATGCCAGGCACAACGGCAAAAAATAAGTTTGCCTACTTGCTTTTGCCTTTTTTCAGAATCGATGCCTTGTTTTATTTGGTCTGATATGCCCCAAATCACTGATACTTTGAGACAAGATGTAGTTGTAATCAGCTGAAATTTGTAGTTAATCAGCATGAGCGACTTATTCTTCTGTTAATAGCAACCTTTGTAATCTTTACACACTGAGAAAGTATTGATTTGCTAGGGGAGCCTGCCAGATGTCCATCTAGACAAGTCCATCTAGGAATACCTAATTCTATGTGGGAACTGGTGACATCAGAAAGCTACACTAGTATGTGAAATGCCCCTGTGGTCAGTTTATAGGATGAAATTATGTGGCTCAGGAAATCACACCTTCCAGTACCTAATGGGACTGCAAGAGAGATGGAGAGCGACTTTTTACAAGGGCATGCAGTGACAGGACAAGGGGCTTCAAACTGAAAGAGAGCAGGTTTAGATTAGATATTAGGAAGAAATTGTTTATATGAAGGTGATGAGGCACTGGTTGCCCAGAGAAGCTGTGGATGCCCCATCCGAGGAACTGTTCAAGGCCAGGTTGGATGGGGCTTTGAGCAACCTGGTTTAGTGGAAGGTTCCCTGCTGTGGTGAGAGGGTTGGAACTGGATGGTCTTTAAGGTCCCTTCCCATCCAAACCATTCAATATCTCTATGATCTGTGTAGCTGCTAAATAAAAGAGAGGGGAGACAGCATGGTTTAAAAACAGCATTGGCAGGATTTAGCAAATAAGACTTGAAAAGCGGAATTTGAACGGATTTAAGAATTTAAATGGAATTAAGAGAATTTAAATGGATAAAAGATAATTCCCTCCAGCAATTAAGGCAACCATAATAAAAAAGGCAAGCACGTGTGAAAATTTTCACGTCAAACTCGCCTACAGACTCCACAGATAAAAGTCTCTGTAGGTTTTGCTTTTCTTCACAGATAGCTTTGACCTGTAGATTTATCTCTATGTGGTGCCTCAGCCTGAACTTCATTGATAATGTTGGGAAGATATTACCAAAAGCAGTGCTTCTAGTTTAGTCTCTCTTTTGTTACACTCACTGACCAATAGCAGCTCCACCATCATCATCTCATCATTCACTGTTGGTGCCACCAGAATGTTCAGGTAACTGTGGAACAAGGAAGAGGAATTTGCAGATCTTTAGGTGGGATCCCCAGAAAGGAAAAAAAAAAAAAAGGCATCTATTTGTAATAGACTAATTCCTTAGGACCAATAACTTGGCATGAGTTAAAAAACCCCACATTACTGCACAGCATTACCATGTATGCAATGTTGTAAGTCCGTGCAGGGAAAGAAAATTCTCCAGACAAGATGGTCTTTCTCCAAGAATCCTGTCTCCACATCTGTTACACTACACATGAAATTCCTCTGTGTTGTCTTGCTAAACTGTAGTAGTTTCTGCATCTAAAACATTTTCACAGCTGTATCACATCTCAATTGCAGATCCTAATTTTATTCCGGTGCCAGGAACCGAAATTGAAGGAGGAGAAGAAGAGTTCTCAAACCACAGTATGTGCTTGAAGTTATTTTATTTTGTTTGTCACCCTTTTACCTCTCAGTCATTGATCAGAAAGAACAAGTTATTTTAATAATTTTAACCTGATAAACTCTGGACAATCTCTCTAGTGAAAGGATCATTTGTGAAAGCTTTGAAATAATACGCTTATTGGCTTAAATGAGGGCTTTTGCTAGAACACTACACAAATGCTCAAGACAAAGCATCCAAAAGTTTCAAAGCTGTCTGCTGGCTGGTGATCAGTGATACCAATGGAGAATGCCAGCTGGTCCAGAGCCTTACACCTCTCAGTGCCAGGGATGTTAACCCCTTGCTCTGCCAAGTGGATTTACAGGAAAGCACACGAGGCTCAAAATTCTACCAGAAAAACAACCCACTCAAAATGCTATTTCACAACAGCCTCCCAGTAGCTTTGAGATTACTGTTATGAGGTACCACAGATTTGTACCTCAGGCACTTCAACCTACCAGTTTGAGTACCAAGGACCTGGGAAATGGCGTGGCTTGCAGTGCTATTAAGTATCTTTTAGTAATTAGCCTCAGTGTAGTATTGCAGCTCTGAAAGTTTTCTTTACATTGTGCTCTCAGCACTGAATGAATAAGCAGCTGGTTTGCACAACTGAATTATATAAAACGAGATTTAAAGGTCAAAGGTAACCCTGGAGGGTAAGAAGCCCTTGGGATAGCACAGTTTGAACATACCAGTTTCAGCAGCTCTCAGTGTATACTTTGAAACCTACAGCTGAAATTCACAGGTACTTATTTAGAATAACATTAGTTAAAGGGCCCCTCCATGAGTCAGCTCTGACACTTACACGCTCTGCTTCTGATTCCTCAGTGGAATGCCTCAATTGCTCTTTCATCCTCTCCTTTTATTCTGGATTGTTAAACCTTGCTATCCTTTCAGTCAATGGCTTGAAAGGAGTTAGTATTCCAAAACATTTTTATGGTATGGGGAGGTTTCTAATTAAAGAGTATTTTATTGCCATCATGGCTATTGTGGCTGAAGTTCTTTGCAAATATTTAAATACATTAGGTTTTCACCACTGTCAAAAAAATTCTTTGCAAAGAAACTAAAATTTAAGCTGCTGTAAACCAACACCCCCTAACTCTCAGCGTAAAATTTTCAGAGCAATAAGTAGACAGGTGTTCTCAGAGGTGTGGTATGAATACCTGTCGCCTGGTCGCTGCACTCCGTTGCATGACTTTGTTTTTTCAATCTTGTGACTAGTGTCAACATCAGTGGATTCCAGAGAAATGTTCGAAGTCATTCAAAATCATGAGGCTTTACTGGATGATCTTCAAAGTGATATTCATCAAGCAGTCAGCAACTTAGGTGACTTACAGAGACTATTTGAGAACAACGGTACGAGCATGGTGTTAGAAGTGAACCAGAGCAATTCAGGTGAGAGGTCTGATGCAGAATTACCAGCCTGAGATAGGCCCTGTGGAACCACGCAGACCAGGAAGAAAATATGAAAGCAAAGATACCCTGATATTCCTTGGTCTGCTGGTTGCTTCTAGAGAGAGAAAAAATGGGTGCAATCCCAGAGCAAATGAAGAAACCCAAGAGTAACTTGAAATGGGAAATGTGATAAAAGGCAAATTTCAGAATATGCCTTAACTGAAGAATAAAGAGGTTGCTCACATTTAAAATTTGTTCATCCTACTATTCTGCTTCTGTGGCTTCTTCTCTTCTATGGGGATACAGAGTTTAGATGTGGCTTTTGTTCTTTTTCTGTATTCATGCTATATACTCTCATGTGTGGAATATCAGGCTGGTGTATACGAAAAAATGAAACATTTTACCCTTCTCAGGAACATTATTCCTGCCGTATACAGGAGTGGGGGAAAAAAAAAAGCTACTGAATTTGACCTACTGTTGTGAGCCACTGGCTTACAGAAACGATTTCTAATGATACAGACTACTGTACTCAGTGAACTTCAAGGCACTCAAGTTTGAATTTTAAAGTTAGAAATCAAGGCTTAGTATAAGTCACACCTAGTACAGATACTTCACAGATTTTTTAAGTTATTTACTCGTGGCCTGGAATATTCAGCTGTTAAGATGCTGTATAACTTTGTAAAGCATCAGAAAAAGAACAACATTACGACACAGTGAAAAAGAGCTCACCAACTAAGAACTGTTGGGGAAAAGGACAGTTACGGCCTCTTGCAAAACTGCCTGTCTAGGGGTTTCAAAAGGCATCATTTTTAAGACTTAAATGGGAAAATCAACACATGTCTAAGTTATTGTCTGCAGACTCATAGACACCATGTGCTTTACAGTAACCTCGATTTAAAACTAGGCTATTTTTCCAATTGTCAAAATTGTCAATATCATGAGGTCAAATATCTGGGAAGTAAGATGGCAACTACTGTAGAGAAATGCATACTTGAGTTACCCTGGTCAGATAAAGTTGCGTTCCAAAACCAGAATTTAAATCTAATTAAATTATTTTTTTCAACTGTGTTAACAGATCCACAGGAAAGGCTTCTGCAGCAAGTTTTGTTTCCCCACGTGGAGAATTTTCTAAGGAAACATTTTAACCCGATGTGGGCAAGCTTCAACAGAAGCTTACAGAACCTCTCTAACATAGTAAGAAACCTGTCCCATGACGTGGAAGCCAACAAGAGAAGCATAGAAAGATTCCGAGAGAGCTCTGTGCCCAAGAAGGAATTCCAGGAGCTGGGAACGAAATTTGAATCAAAAGTCCAAGAAAACATAGTGAGAGCTGATCAGGTGAAGAGAGATATAGAGAACCAACTGCACATGCAGCAGGCCAACATTCACTATAATCTCAGCATGATCAAGGCAGATACTGACACAAAGCTCAAGAAGTTTCATAAGATACAGCAGTCCCATTTCTTAGCTTTGAACAACAGCATAGCAAAGGTGAAACAAGACCAAAACAATCTTGAAAATAAACTGGAGACTTTGGAAAGAAATTTAACAGAACTCTCTTTGCATCATGGTCCCAAAGATGAAAAGAGCCAGATAACCATCAGACAAATAAATGACATTCTGGCAGGGCATGCAAAGCAGCTTAAAGAACTTTACATGGAGTCAGATGTGGCCTTTCAGAATATTGCAATTTTAGAGAGGTGGTTTAATGAGTTAAAAAAAAATATCTCAAAGTATAGGCCAGAAGATCTTACAATAACTTTAACTGAGAAATCAGTTATTATGGAAGAAAACAATGCAGCAATGGAAAGGCAAATATCAGAGTTCAACTACACTCTGTCAAACCTTCAGGAAAACTATTCAGATCTGTTGAAGTACATGGAGGAATGTAACTGCCAGAGAATATCTTCTGACACTGATGTACTGGAGGAAGATTCAAAGAATATGACTTATTCCCTTGAAGACACCCAGTCAACTTTAAAGGATATGAAGCACTTAGAGTCAGTTCTCAGAGATCTCTTGAGGAATGAAATTGAAGAGCTCTCCTCAGCTATTCCATCTATTCATCTGTCTCTTAATCTCCGTCAAGAAGAAAACAGACAGCTTCAGTCACAAGTCACGGCTTTGTCAGAAGACATAGGCTTGATGAAGAAGAAAGATGAAGAAATTCATAGACACATCAAGTATCTCAACAGTTCTTTTGGCTCTCTTTTGGAAGATGCAATGCGGCATGAAGTAGCACTGGAGGCTTTACTGAAAGAAGAATTTGTGGATGTCTTGTTTGAAGATGATTTTAGCATCCTAATACCATCGGTATTTGAGCTGCAAGAATCTCTCAGACATATCTCAGATAAACTCCAAGAACAAAACGTGACTTTAGAGTCTCTTACAAGAAGATTTCGTCTTACAGAGAGAGGTCAAGAGAATAATCACGACGCTCATACACCTCATAACCACCCGAGAGAGGAAACACAAACGCCCTCCGCTCTAGATGAAGTTAGCAGCCAACGCAGCATCAGAGAGCACATGGAGCCCAACTACGAGGCTGCCAAAGACGACTCCTTGGATAGCTCATCTTATAACGATATCATGACTCTGAAGAATGATATCAAACACCTGAGCCTGGCAATCAAGAGTCATGAATCCAGAAGTGACGCGAATCTCTGCTGCAACCACACGATAGCAAATGTAATCGAGCCACTCAACAGTTCTGTGGGAATTCTCTCCGCAGATTTAGCAACCATCAAGCAGCATCTGGACGAACATCTGCTGATTTTTAAAAAGCTATTTGGAAGTAATGAAGAATTAGTCGCCTCAAAGATAAGTCTGGATGTTACAAAGATTCAGTCAATGCTGAACAGAAAAGAGGGAAGGCAACAGAAAGGTCAAGACAAGCAAAGAGACAAGAAAAGACCTGAGAAGCACAGAGAAAATATGCAAGTGATAAGTGGAAGAAATACAGTGCACACAGAACTTTTGGAAAAAGGTACGCTCTTTTCTTTCACTTGCTTATGTGCAGGTCTAATTTCTTTCAGGACCCTGCTGCAAGTTCCACACACAGAGCATATTAGTTATGAGATGTGCCAGGTATCTTGTGGGATGCTGGAGGGAGAAGTTCTGACATTAGTTAAGTCCTCCCCCTCCATCAAAAAAAGCAGTTTGAGTGAGAACTGAGTTGATACTCTGCTGCATTTTGCTTGAGGCCAATAAAATTATACCCATTACAGCTGCTGGGAAATGGACTTGAACTAATTCAACTTCAGATGTTTAGAAGACCAATGTAGATGTTCACGTTAACGCAGTAGCATTTTTGTAAGCTGCTGTGGAGTGTTAGGCTTTCTGGTCTTGCTTCTTTTTCCTGTTATTTGAATCTGGAAGGGGTGTACTCAAAGCACCAAATCCTTCCCAAGGTGGACAGATACATTAAATGAACTGCTATAATTTGCACAAGTGGAACAGGGCAGACTGACCAGAGAGCACACACTCTCTCTTACAACTAAGCTTCAGAGACAAGTTTTCAGCTTATACTTTACTGGGACTGGCCAGTTCCCTTTCCCTGTAAACATGTGGCCATAAGGACCTGGTAATTACAACCACCACAGCTTTAGCATTGGCTTTTATGATTGTAGCCCTTGTTATGGACAAATAACATAGAGCAAAAATCATCCCCTTCAGGTATCTGTGCTGCAAAACTTTAGTCAAGACTGAAAAAGCAAAAAACATATTTTTAACTAATTTATTTTTAGGACAGTAAAAAGTGCTGCCTTTCTTTTTTTTCCCTCTAGGTGGTTTTAACCTTATACTTTTCCAAGAGTAGTGGTTCAGGTATTTCCAGGGAACCACTGATCTAATCCCACACACATACCCATTTCAAGCATTTAGCTCAGCAAGGAAGCACACAAAAATCAGGCCTGACAGGGCTTCACCTTATCTCCCATCCTGATGACCCTGGGGAGAGAATACCTGCTTGCTGCTAAAATCCTGTTCCTCTTTCTTTTTCAGATTCCTTGGTGGCATTCCATGTGGGATTCTCAGAAGGAAAGGATAAAGAAAAAACTGTGAGGTTTAACGAAACGTACTTCAATTATGGGAACAGCTATTTCCCTGAGCATGGCCACTTTAAAGCACCACAGAAAGGCATCTACCTGTTTGTCATCTCTGTGGAGTTTAGTTCAGGACCAGCACTGGGACAACTCTCCTTTAGCCGTGGGTACAAAAGAACTCTCTCAAGTAGTCAGAGGAAAACACCAAGTGGAAACACTGTGACTACTTTTGCTATGGCAGAAATGGAGAAGGGGGAGACAGTAAGCTTTGAATTGCTGCAGGGCTCTGTAGTGAAGAGAAGTCCACCTGGGACAACTATGGGTGGATTCCTAATATCTAAAACTTGAATAGTGACATTTATGTTTTACTGATCTCTTTCCATAGATGCAATGGATCCATTCACTATTGCTTCATCTGTGATGTATTCAATCCTACTGCATGTGTTTAAACATAGCACTACCCTAGGTTTGTCTTCATGCTTCTTTTCTGGAAGTGTTTGGCTTTTGATTAGTTGCTTATGAGCAGCAATGGGATTTTCTTTCAAGTGAAAAGTTTGGACTCCAAATGTATCAGCACACACATTCCCAAACCCATCCACTGAGAGAGCTGTACCTAAATGTTTTGTGGCACTTTCTTCATTTTTAATGCATGTAATTTCTCCTTTCCCTTGGCAAATACCCCCACCACTGGCAAGGAAGACATTTTAGAGAGGACTGCATATAGCAACTCTGGTACTATGTAAATGGTACCTTAAAACCCAGAAGCCAGGGCAATTTTACCTTTTAGTTCTCTATGGACCACAGGCAGTCACAGACTATCTTG